TCAATATAAGTATGTCGTTAGGCTCAACCGAGCAAGACATGGAAAAGGAAGAGATTTTTTATTTTTTACAAATGATATGAGAAGAAAACGTAGCAAGGTTCTAATTGTAGTCACCTTAAGAAAGAGCTCATGTATGTTATATATATGCTCCTCAAGCAGCGGGTGCCGTAGACAACGTTGTGATTGATTGTCAAATAGGTGCTTGTTGCTGAAATTTGGAGCTTGATCTACTATAAGTTTTGATCAAAATTTCAAGACGATTGCAACATGACACTTTAAAAATTAGGAGCCCACATAGATTTTTGACATGATTATAACGTCAGCTTGAATTATTTCTTTCTCAGTTGTAAATCAAACATTTCAACTGTAGGCATTTTTGCAATAGTTTGAAAGTCATGATTCTTGTAATCTTACCTTTCGATCTCTCGGCTTGATTTTTAATATAATTTGAGTTGATGCGCCTCAAATTAACATGTTGTGGTACAAATAAATCTTTCAGTTAAGATCAGTTTACTAAGTATTCATCACTCCTATTTTTGCTTGAGTGCCATGTATTCTGTATAAAACCAGATAGCTACAAGTACAGATATTTCTAATTAGGTTTGGCTAAACTGCAATGTAGCAGGTACATTAATCTTGGGAGCGTATATATATATCACGATCAAAGAAGGAAGAAGGTAATATAAAATGTTCAAAGATTACATTATAAAAAGTAATGTTTATAGCAAAGAAAGTGTTAAAAAAAGTTATGGCGTTCCTCTTGGATCTACGGTCATTACAAAACATAATAAGATAGTGGTGGTTGAAGTCTTTGACCGTGCTTGAGTAGTTCAAGTTGTAACTTTCACCCAAGACTTGAGGTTTCCTGACAGCTCTTTCCTGGGTATATTGCATCGAGACACAATTATTCTCTACTTCATTTGACAGCTCATTTAATACTACAACAGCCATGCTCATGGAAATTTTAAGAATATGCTTATAGTGAGGTGGCTGCATACAGTCTACAACTACAAGGACATGAACAAAAATTGCACAGTACTTGTCTCGAGTCCAGGAAAGATGACTGACATGCAAGTCATAAGTCTTGTGTAAGATTTTATTTCATGATTGTTGAAGACAGCCTCCAATATCTAGAACATGGCTTTGGTAATTTCAGATGGATTATGAAAACGACGGAAACTCTCGTTTGGTCTAGGTTCTTTTACATATTTATACGTTAATTATTTTTAGAAATTTGTGATTTTTTGCGCTGTTTTGTCCCTGAGTGTGGAGAGGATATCCAGCAGATGGATGAATATTTCTTATGCATCTGCTGTCAAAGTAAAAGTTGCTTGGTTCCATACCTCTCCATGGTGACGATTGTGCTTTTGGTCATGACTCATGAGCACTGTACATTAGGCATTCTAAAAATAGATGCCTAATATATCTAATTTCAAATATGTTCAGTGACTAATCTCCAAATTATTTTTCAAGTAGTTTCAGCAAGAAAAACTATTTCTCGACTAGTTTCAGAACTAAAAATTTCCAAATGGCTAAACTGTAAAATGATCGAACGTATTAGTAGATTTCGTCAGTAGATTCGGTTTATTGTGTCCATATACAACGCTTGTTGAGAGTGACATCTCAATGTTGAAATTTAAAAGGAACCATTTTAACAGATCACTTTTGATTTTTTTCTATAAGTATTTTTCCAATGTAAACATAATGATATGTTGTGCATCTTGAAACAATAAAACAATAAGTATGATATGTTGCGCACCTTGAAGCAATAAAATAGGGAGATAATGTTTTTTGAGAGAATCCCTACTTAAGATACATGCAAGAATCATTCTCGTGATTGTACATAACCTCGCTGATATGCTGTATGTTACGATAGCTAATAGAGACCAAGAAAGTAAGAGCCATTCAGATAATGATGATTGTACACGGGCAAGATACATATCAGAAGATTTCCTGTAGTGGATCAAGCTGAGGCCCCCAACTTGGGGTTTAGACAAATAGGAAAAAAATAGATACACTCGCCTGAACAAGAAGTTGAGAGAAAATTATTTAGATAGTAAATTTTTATGTCTTATTTTTGTGAAAAGTTTTGGTTAAATTTGATAGAATAAATTTTTTTTAGAATTATTTTCTATAAGATCTTGCCAAAATTGAATCACTACTACGTAAAATTTAATTAAAATTGATAGAATGTATAACAAGAATTTTTTTTAATTGATGTCTAATCGTGCCTAATTTCATTACGAATATGTGCCTAATATACTTAGATTAGGCACAAATAAGCATATGCCAAAACTACAGAGGCCTGGTCATGAGGTTCACTTCACGTCATGGCAAACAGGTGGCCATCACAATCAGATTCTCAAGAACCTTTAACTTCGTTCAATGGTTCTATATGATCTGGCGAAGAAAAGCTACCTGCAGTTGTTTCTTTCACCAGAAGCGCTGAAGCTTTCACCATTGATAACAAGCTTCTTTTTTTGTGAAAACACAGGTGACATGTTATGATTCGCAAGACCATTACTGTAACGTACACATGAAACTGCGACAAGTTGAGTTAAACAAAACCAGCTTCAATCCGATTCCCTTCTTTCTTCTTTAAAATGCCTTTCCTCTTGAGAGAGCATTGCGAGCATCTAGATGCTCAGGCAAACCCTCAAATATACAATGCATGGCATTCCGCATCTTGTACAAAGTTCATCTACATCCATGGACTTAGAGTGGTTATAATCTTGATTACATTGAAATCAGCTTGTTATAATTTGCTTTGACAACTTATGCGGATCTTGTATTTAATTTGGGGATAGGCTTTGCTTTTTGAGTGACACTAAATTCAGCGTGATTATGAACTGTTGTGGACGCAAGGGCTGAGATGAGGTTTCCCTAGATATATCTCCTTCCAGCATGTCCGGCCAGGAATGCTCAGGTCTCTACTACAGCAAATGAAAGCAGCCACACATCCACAACGCAGCTATCCCAACCTACTGGAAACTTTGTTTGAAGTAAGAAAGCAGTTGCAAGTGGATAACAAAAATGGATAGGAAGGCCCCATCAATCAAGCCGTACAAGGACTCATTAAGCCTTTTGGAGTAACCAGGTTAATCTTTAGCGTATAGAAATCACGCCTCTTGAAAATCTATGGAATTATATAGCGCTATTTTAAAAAAAAACGCTTATTCAAAAATATGATTCTCAGTATTGGTTCAAAAAATTTATATTCGTATTTTGGTTTAATTTCTGTATACATTAAATAATTATTTCTTACAAAAAAATATTTTGGAAATAGGAAATGGAAATTTTTGGATATGAAGGCCCCATCAATCAAGCCGTACAAGGACTCATTAAGCCTTTTGGAGTAACCAGGTTAATCGTGACCCAAAGCCTGACAAATCCCAACACCTGTTTATGTAATCGACACAGCACAAAAACTAGTAAAAACAATTACTTCCTCTTCTCACATAAAGTTCAAAGTAAATTGTTATATATAGCGCTTTTTAGAAAAAACGCTTATTCAAAAATATGATTCTCAGTATTGGTTCAAAAAAGTTTATATTCGTATTTTGCTCTAATTTCTGTACACATTATATAATTATTTCTTACAAAAAGAATTTTTGGAAATGATCTTACTATGTTATTCAACAAAATGAATAATTCCATATAGTAAGGTTAACCATATCTAAATATTAATAGCTAGGTTTTAAATGATATATAAAGCTAGCATACTTATCATCAAACCTATCGATTCATTTTTTGATAACCTCCTTTATATTCTTATTTCTTAGAAATGTATCATATCTAATGACAGCCAATAAGCTACACTGAAGGGTTGAAGTTCCATAAACATCGAGGTTGTTCATCACCCCATGATTCTTGTAATTGAATACCTTTGAATATAGACTCGAACATTCATCTTTATTTATTGTTCTTTCAATCTCATAACATAAATATTTCGTTATTATTTATGATTCCAATATTTAGATGCACTGAGTTATTCATTTCATTGTAATGTTTTGAATCCCTAAACCAACCCATTGGACGTCAAACTACCACGTCTAACCACGTTTTGCACATAAATAAACTTCGAAATGTAAAGAGATGTACAAGCATGTATGCAAGCAGTAAATTATTTTCCCACAAAATATACTGAAAGTCACTGCTTTCGATGTCGATTGCAGTTTCATTTCAATTAGAATTTACATGTAATCACTTGAATGTTGAATATGACGATGCAAGTTCGTTCTCGTGTGTGCAGATTATAATTCGATATGATATTTTCTAACATTTTTTACATCATTATCTTTCTGCTTTAGACCAGCTGCGCCTCTACCGTACGGAGCTTCTTGTTTGACCTACCTCTAAAGTGCGCTCATGAGACATGAACTAGGTCTATAGTGTGACGTCTACTCAATTTAATTGCACGGTTTTCCTCTCCCATTCTAATCCAGGGTTTCGTATCTAAGTAGAATGTAGTCTCTTCGACCTTCGATAGCTTATGATCCACACACTGTAAGTCAATAAAGTATCTTTATTTTTTTCTAATCTAGTTCCATCGTCTTCTACCATGACCCAGGACCCGTAATTATCGGATTCTTGAACGACGGAAAATGTGAAAATGATCTAAACAAAGATACTTTTCGTTTAAATCCTTAGTAAGGTTAGGAGATAGGACTAAAATATTGAAGTGGCGTAGTTGATATCAATGTCTTGTGGAGTCGCTTTTTCATCTATCCATGTACTCTTGTGTAACAAAGTATTACAAAATATTACAGCGAGACAAGTGCGAATGATTTCAATGTGTAAAAGTGACATTGCATGTCACTCAAGTGCATACGTTTGGCTTGACCAAGCAAATTTTGTTGAAAATACCGTAATTAAATCACAAATGTATGATGTACATTTGTTTGTATTTGATAGAGATTTGATGTACTTTAGAGTAAGAAGCTGAATCAGCTGCTGTAGAAGGTATATTTTCTTTCAGGACATCAAATTTTATTTTGATCGCTTTCTAAAATGATACGTGTAGTCATTTCACCCACGAAGATTTTTTATATTTTTATTTTGCTTTTAGATTTTTCTATGGAGCACTCGGCGGAGCACTCCACAGACATATTTCTGTTATTTTTTTCTTCTGACTGCTATTTCCAGAGCTTGCTAACTTTTTACCACATAATCAACTATTTATGTACCATTCTTGAAGGAAAACCTCGTGCAAGCTAATATTCCAAAAAGGAATTGTCATAACGGCCGCCAAATGTCTTCACGACAACATCTAAAATGCAGAAGTCAACAGTCGGTGATTCGTCTACGTGAAACCTCACAGCACAAGAAATCTTTTCTCTGCGGAAGGAAAATGGAAATTGATATTGCGTACATCCGGAACTCTTAAAAGACTAGAGAGGAATGAAAATCAAACCGGTTCAAACATGCAAAACAAGGGCATTTGCATGGGGTATTTTTGTCCGATGCGGATGAAGAAAATCGAGGTCGTCCACAGAGGATACCGGGCTGCGGCTAGTCAGGACCGGGGCCCGGGACGAGACGGCCATCGTCCTGGGCCTTCCACCCTGCGATGGAGATCGGAGGGCGTGAAAAAACCCACGCGGGCGTAAACGTCGGTGCGTGCGACGTGTCTTGGGTCGCAAGCAACCAGCGCTCGAGGGTGGTCCTCGGACGATTGACAGTCTCGTGCTTCCTGATCGCCACCTTTGCTTCGTCGGCATCCCGTGCCCTCCCTCGGTCGGACCTCCAAGAGCAACAGAGGAGGCGAGAGTCAGCGCTGGACCATCACCCTTCGACGTGTTTCTATTCTTCGAGAGAGACGAGCGACGAGCGAGGACAGGAAGAAAGAATCTCATAAATGCCGAGACGATTCACGAGGATTAACGTTTCGATCGTGTCCACAGGGTTAGTGCGTTCTTCGCTTGTGCCTCTTGTGCGTCGGTGCGCTTCGCTAGGAACAGGAATTGGCTCAGGGACGGCTCGAATTTGCAGGGAGCGATTGGATTGTGGGTCGGTTTGAGGAGTTTATCTGTAAATTCTGAGGATACGGAGAGTAGTTGGTGACGGGGAGGGCGAGAGGAAGAGGAAGAGAGAAAGAGAGAGATGGCGGGAGGGGGCGAGGAGACGAGTATGGACAAGGTGATGAGAGATGGAGGAGTGGTGGCGCTCATTGTGGAGAAGCTGCGGAGCGCGCACGATAGGTACGCGGCAGCTTTAGTTTGCAGGTTATGGCATGATGCAGTGGTATGGCAAGCGACGACGCTGACATTGCGCTCGAGGGATTCGCTGCCGCATTTGGTGAGGACGTTCAAGCACATTGTGGCGTTGGATCTGAGTTGCTGCGACGAGCAATTGACGAACTCGGAGCTGGAGTTTTGTGCTTTCTCGTTCGCCCATTTGCGATCGTTGAGTGTAGGCCAGGCGGATTTGAATCAGGACAGCATATCTGACGAGGGAATCTTGGCCTTCGCCGAAAGATGTGGGCATTTGGAGCAGATAAAGCTTGCGAATCTTCCCAAGGTAGGAGATGCGGCCATGCAGGGTTTAAGTAAGGGGTGTCCATTGCTACGGTGCTTGAATCTTCATAATTGTATTGCAATGGCCGATGATTCTCTGGAGGCCATTTGTGAATTCTCTAATCTAGAGGAACTGCAGTTGAAGGGCGAGTTTAAATTCACAGCCGGTGGATTGGAGAAAATTGGTACCCACTGCACAGGCCTGGTCAAAGTTTGCTTCGATCTTGGGGCCACAAAAATTGATACGGCATTGAGGTCTCTGGCCGAGAGTTGCCCTAAATTGCAAGACCTTTCTTTGAAATTCAAGCATGCAAACTTGAGGGAGCTTGCGAAATGTAGATCGTTACGGTCCTTCTCCGTTGAATCTGACCAAGCGTGGGATCGCGAACTGAACCTGGATGAGTCTGTAGTCGCTATCGCGAAAGCAAATAAGAACCTGAAAGAATTTTCTTTTCTTATCAAGGGTGGGCTATTGAGCGACGGTGCGGTTACAGGGATCATTCTTGCCTGCCCACTGCTGGAGACGCTTCAGTTGGAGGCTTGCAATTTGACAGACACAGCGTTGATGTGCATTGTGTCCTGCAAATCGTTACAGCATCTTGTTTTGGACGGTTTAAGAAGTGGAGGGCATGGATTGACGGAAATAGGTCAGTGCGGATTGGGACTGACGACCTTTGCGTTGAAGAATGCTAGAAGAGTTAAAGACGTGGAGTTGCAGACTTTGATGGATGGTAACAGGGGGTTGGAAACGTTAGACCTGCAATCCTGTCAGGGACCTTCCGGGATAGGTTTTTCAGCAATTGCGCTTTGCAGTAATCTGCAATATTTGGATTTAAGTTCAACGGATGTGGATGATCTCAGCTTGCTCGCAATTGCCAGTGGTGTCCCAAACTTGAAGCAGCTTAATCTTGTTAAGTGCAAACGGATCAACAGCATGGAAACTATTGCTCGCTTCACTTCTTTGGAGGTGCTTAACGTGGACCAGTGCTCCTTCGTCGAAAACCAGGGTCTGGGAAGAGTTGCAGCAAGCTGTCCTCGTCTCAACAACCTGAGTTTGGCTTTCACCAGGGTGAATGATGAGGGGCTCCAAAAGTTGACTGTCTGCAGTATGTTGCGGACTCTACGAGTTTCTTACTGCCGGTTTGTGCTTGGGGAAGGCGTGGTCGCAATAGCCAAAGCCTGTGGTGGATTCAATCATGTGGTTCTAAGCTACAGATTCCGGGATACCCCTACTCACAAAGCTCTCAAAGAACAGTCCTGCAGGGTTTCTCTAGAAATGGACGACATGGCTTTGGTGCCATTCGGGTACAATTTAATGATGTAAATATCTTCAAAAACGGCCGAACATTTTCTGCTGACTACAGCTCATGCGACTCGGTAAGGGCCCACGATGGCCACTTACGTGTTCGGATGCATCAAGGCACGCTCTGTGGTCTTTTTGAAGAACGTCCTGAGAAAGAGTAGTATGTCCGGTATGCTGGTGGGGCAGAACTTTTCACAGAGGCTCGTAAGACTCCCATTTGGATTGTGAGTATGCTTGGACTGTGAATATGTAACAACATCGTGTGTTTCTCATCCTATGGCATAATCTTCTCTTTAGGGCAGTGACAAAGACAGTTTTGACGGCAGTGGTACCATCCCTATCCAGAGCAGCTTGGACTCAGCTGGACATGCCCTGCCATTAACAATTTCATGTCCTGCCTTGAGGAAGGCTCAAGACAGGACTCTTAACATACCGGTTGTCGTTGTAGAGTAGTTTTTGCCTGTATATTTTTCCTGGCGCGCCTTGTACTCCAACGGCTTGTATAAATTTATTGCTCGGTTTCACCATCTTTGGAAACAACTCTCCATAATAATGAACGTCGTTACGGAGCTGTGCTTGATAAGGGGATTTATCTCTTTTTGATTTTGTGGTGTTGTGGTGTTTCTCAATTACTAGCTACTCTGTACTACTGCTTTGATGTGGCGCTTCGTTGAAAGAGGCTTCGCTCCTGAGAACAAAGTTTCTATTGTTGGCGCTCTTTCTCTCTCCACGGTTCACAATTTCGTGGTATTTTGATGAATTGGGTGCCATGCAGGTACATTTGTGTTTCAAATGAGATTCTGCGCCTATATCATATGTGGAGGAAGCTTTCTGTACAAGCAACCAGAACAAGATGAGGGATTTTTATCATCTCTCTGCTTCGAAGTTTTCAAGAACTATCCAGGACCATGCAGGAGGTGTTATGATTTTTTCCAACCTACTCAAACACTGCATCCTTCTGCAGTGTAGCGGATTCAATTTGAATTACCGACTGGCTTTGAGCAGCTCCTAACAGTGAATGGACCTGCATACTGTCGCGCACCAACCGAATATTTTAAGCTAGGCTTTTGACCTGAGTTTAAGCGTAATCAACACATTAAGAGAAAAAGTTTGCCTAAGCTTTGTGTTTCCTCAGAAGGAGCGTGCTTGTTGGTCCTTGACAAACGACTAATGTCGTTTGTTTAAGTAGACTCTGTTCTAAGCGTGTTCGTTTTTCTTTATACGTTGGCACCATGGTGCAGGTCGAGGTTTCTAGCTCTGCCCATCTTTTTACTTAGACCCCTATCTAAGGAAAGCGAAAGAGGACGTTTGAGTTAGAGGATGGAGGTTTTAAGTGAGCATGTCAGTCCGCCATGTGATCTACATGGACAGAAAGCTAAATTAAGTCTCTAACTCAAAACGGAAGGAAAACAGAAGCTTTCAGTGCTCAGATCATCTCATAAGAGCCCATTGATAGAAACCTAAGACCAATTTCTAAGTTGAAAGGCAGGCTCCTTTAATGGTTGATCCAGCTCAATAGCCGAGATACCATCTCAGACCGTGAAGCCCCCAGTATTCCGCTCCAGCTTTCCAGAGCTCTCTTGGCTGGGCCTTTTCCAAATCAGTCTACACAATCCATTCTCTTGAACTGATGAAACAGTTATATCACAAACTCTCTTCTGAATCGAGTCGATTAACATGACTACTATTTTCCGTCTCCTTGATGACCACCCAGTCTTGTAACCATGGTTAGAGTCGGCCTCTACCAGGAGAAGACTTAGGGGATACCATATAGAATCAAATGATTATGCATCACAGATATGCTTTTTGTATCGGTAATGGTGGGTGGTGGAGATCCAAACATGCAAGCACCTTCAGTGCTCTCTCCCTGCTTAAGGGGTACTTGGTTAGTGAGCTTCAACATGTCAAACAAGGCTGTGGCTGTGGAGCCACATCCGTGCTTTGCTGTCGAACCAAAGGTTTCTAATCTCCTAACCGTTCTTTTTGAACGTGAAATGGGAATATGTGAGACTAGAAAGTGCTGTAAACATAAACACATTTTATATACATCACTAAGGATTCGTTCATATCTAACAAAGCGAGTGAAGTGCGACCGAGCCCCAAGGCATAACGGCCAAGGGCTTACGGAGAAGCCATAAGCAGCAAAGTTAACAGGCACTGCCCACTTTCGGTGTGTGGCTTATCCATCCGAGGGGGAGAGAACCTCTATAACAGCAATTAGTTGCGAAAAGACCCAACCCTCCAATTTCTGCATTCAACTGACGACGGATGGTAACAAAAGGAAATTAGTGACGGAGTCATATAGCAAGATCCCATCAAGCATGAAAGCAAGCGGGAATCATGGGGCCAGCCCCAACAGCATCGTAATGGTAAACATTGCATATTGCACTTGAAATATCTAAACTGTATAGATTTATATTGGCTGCATTCTCCCTGAGCATATCAAGAATTATCATATGATTCTTGTACTGTAGAGTTTATCATTATAATATCCATGAGCATATGAAGAATCATCATGTGATTCTTCTACTGTAGATTTCATTTTTAAATACCCATGATGACGTTACCTATTGATACAAAGTGATTTAAAAATAATGTATATTACAACAAATATTTTACACCACGTCGCGTGCACTCTCAAGTAAATCAATCAAGATCCATAGATCCGGAATTTTAGTTGCAATTACTGCATTATTAAATTGTGAGATGAATCAAAACCTTATGAGATTGTCAGCTTTAGTACCTGCCAGGACTTGTGTTCTATCAGCGGCTCCAATTGCCGATGAGAAACATGTGACCTCCTCCACCCTCACTCCGGAAAGGACATAAGGACGAGCCCGCTTTAAATAATAAGCGCCCGCTTTTTTCTGATGTTTCATGGAGCACTTCCATCTCGAGACGATTTAGGCTTTGGAATCTGCAAATCTGTCGGAACATGCGAGATCTGTCAAATGAACTGCGTTCGTAATTTCCGGTTGATAATGTTAGCCCTCGCGCCACGGTTTCGCCGTGAGCATCGGCTGTTACCGGTCTTTCGGACTCATTCATTACCTTTGGGGTCTGCGACGATTGTCAGGGATTCGATTGTTCTGTCGGGCATCTAAGATGCTCATAGAAACCATTCGTAGTGCTCTCTCGGTGAGAGTGCGTATGGGCCAGTCGAGCCGTCGGAGAGATGTCACCTGGACATGAAAGTGAGTCTCTAGGTTTTTTAATGTATGAAAATTCGAACCGCTGTAGCATCGCTAACAGTCAGGAGAATTTTGGCATACCCGCCGTGGAGAGTTTTGTTTGAACTGCCTATTCTGTGCATTCATCCGCAAGTGGATCGAGGCGGAACAACCGCTTGCGTCTCTGCTCGATGCGGCCTGAGATATTCCCACATGAGCCCTGTGAATCAAACAATGTGCATCTATGCTTCTTTCTTGCCGATCAGGACGATAAGAGCAGCTGTCACACATCGCAGTCCTCAGTCTGTCGCGTATCATGTGGAGGGACAACTGTGATTTGTACAAAGAAGTGATGATGGGAATTAACAGGTGGAGATTGCATTGTTGTGTTCAGCGGGCTTTGACTCGACTTTAGCACCGCAGCCCGGATTGGCCTCGTCAAATTGTCGTTTTCTTGGAAGACATGGAGATACTGATGCAACCTGCCAATAAGGCGGAGACTCACCAGAAGGTCAAGACCCAACGGAGACAGGTATCCGACGCGGAATGATAGAGTGCGCTAAGCGGTGACATCATGCTGTCGATGCAGGAAGAAGACTTCGAAAGTAAATATTCTTGCGTAACAAATGATGTATCTCACAAATTCCTCTTGCGTGCTCTTTCGTGTTGCAAAGTTGCCCAGCCGAACTACCTTCACATACAAAAAGAACGAGCTTCTCCTGTCGGCGAAGTCGAATGCGGTTGAGCATATTTTATTGTTGCCGAGTTTGAACAAAAAAATCATGGAAATTATTCTCCAAAGAATGTGGCTAACAACGGAATAATACGCTCTGAGTGCGTCACCGAAGCTCCATGGACTGAGCACAATTTCGATCTGTATTACCAACTACAGTCCAGCCGTATACTACATTGTTGGCTAGGTACTTAGTGGCTGGCGGCCAATCTTGGTTTTTGGCAAGGAGGCCTGAGTAGGACTCACGTTCCTTGTGAACATGGCGGTGTGCAGGAGAAGTGAAAGTTGTTGTGGTTGGAAATGGATGTGTTGGAAAGACGAGTATGATTCGGCAATTTTGCAAAGGCGTTTACGCTAACGAGTACAAGAAGACCATTGGCGTAGATTTTTTGGAAAAGCTTCAGTAAGAGACTTCAACTTCCCATTGCGATGTGATCTCAAAATATACACCTCCCTGCGAAGTTTCGCTCGGAATTTCAGATTAAGATCAAATTCACTGAATGAACATTGGAAAGAAAGAAGCATAATGCTTTATCTGAAATCTGAGGACCCAGGCCTTCACCGGGATTCCACAATTCTGAGAGCAGACATGAGGTGATTTTGACACAAATTATAAGAAAGGATAATTCTGCGAGACAAGTTTAACTAGATCTGCTACCCAAAGCGTTGCAGGTTTGTAAGAGGCTTAGACGAGGAAGTGAAGATGATGCTCTGGGATACTGCAGGGCAGGAGCAGTTTCATGCTTTGACTCGGGCTTATTATCGAGGTGAGTCTTGACTGTTCTTGCCTCAGGTCTGGCTTTTGGTCTTGTCACATAAGGAAAGTTTCTTACAACGCACAGTGCGGCGTGGTTTCTGTATTCAGGTGCTAGGGCTGCTGCCTTGTGTTTTTCTACGATCGACAGGGATTCCTTTGAGGCAATTAGGACTTGGAAGGAAAAGGTGCCAGATCCCTCCCCAGACTTCTCCGGCCTCCCCATAACTGACCCTGCACTAAAATCATCCTGGTTAACCAATGGCACCAATGGCACCTGTTACAGGTCGAAGAGGAGTGCGGGCAGATTCCGATGGTCTTGGTTCAAAACAAAGTTGATCTCTTGGAGAATGCCGTCGTCTCTAGGTGTGTGATCTCCTGACCGCATGCTCAATTTCCTTCGTCTTCCGGTGTATGAGGAGTGCTTCAGATATTATTACCGGACTGCAATCATTACCATCAACAACGGAAACCTCTTCAATCTTTTGATGTGACAATGGCGGGAAGCAAGTCCTAATTCACGCACTTCATGCATGTTGCAATAATTAAAATAAACTGGATGGTTGTAAGAAACATTCAGTGCAGGAAAAACTGAAAATCTGATTTTGTTCAAACTAAGGCAAGACAGCAATAACGGATCCATTCGACACCCCTGCAGAAAATTTCTCATGCGCAGGACGTATTTAGACAGAGTGACAAATCCCTGCACTTTGGGACATGGGAGATAGTCTCCGAGGTATGAATCTCGTTGGGATGCTTCGGTTTGTCTTCGATCGTAGACGTTCTGACACCATCCCCATCTCGCTGTGTTCTCATGATACTCTGTAGGCAAGAGGCAGAAGATTTAGCGACTGAACTAGGACTCCGATTTTATCGAATCTGTGTTAAGGAGAATCTCTATGTTGCTGACGGTAATTGAATCCATCCAATGCGCCTCGGTTATCTTCAGTGCTTTGCTCTATTTCTACGCATTTGTTATTCGATTTTCAGTTTGGAGAAGTCATATTTTTTCTTCATGTTTCCTATTGCCAGTGTTTGAATACTTGGCGGAGATGTACCTGCAGAAGGACATGCGTATCTACCATTGCCAACCGAGACCTAACATTAGTGAGTTTCAAATCGCAACAGATCTTTTGTTATCCCAGCATCAGCCACTTCTTCAAAGCTCTCCCAGCTTTGCTTCCTTCTGTCGATGTCTTCTTATTTGTCCCTGGAACGTGCCAAGACTTCAGAATGCTTTTACTTTACATTCTATAATCTATGAATTGTGTACCACATTTTTCAGCCAAGGCGGTTGCTTCGAGGATTGCAACTTCTGCGCCACCGCAAGTTGACATGAAAGTCGACACCGTTTGTAAAAGATCGAAAGTCATCAACATCAGAAAGAGGAGGAGGCGCAGATTGCAGTCCGAGTGTTCAATTTTGTAGCTGCCCCATTTCCTCATCCTCAAACTTGAAGTCCACTCCCATCTACAGACCCTCAATGTGGATCGAAGTTTGTGACATCTTTTCGTTGAGCTGATTGGAGGAAAGCAGCAAACCGAAGTTTAACAGAAGCTAATCATTCCCTCCTTCTGCCACCTTTCAGCATCCTTCCCACTGTAATCTTCTAGAGTCCGTGCGATACTCGTGTGCATCGATCTGCAAAGATCCGATGGCCGATGCCCATTTGTAAAGCTCCTGTGAAATTCGCTACGTTTCACATCATGGGCTTCAAAAGTTGTATTTTCGAAAAAGGGTGAATTTGTCCCAGTTCCAAACTTCTTCTTTACTCGGGTAAGAGTCAACATCTGCAACTGTGAGTGGAAAATTAGGAGTGATTTGACTTCTAGTGCCAAAATTGGGAAGAATAAAACATGCACAATTGTCTACACATACTTTCATGGGAAACCAAATCCTTTCGTCGCACGGTCACTATCACGTTGGAGCACTCATCTCAACCTTGAACGCTGAGAGAAAAGGCAGTGACCGGGACATGCAAAAAGTGAGGGGATGTGACGGACGTTGTGCACCAATGTTCAGCCTAAAGTTTGTGAAGCGAATGAAACCTATCTACGCACCGTACTTCTGCACCAGAGCAAAAAGCACATCCATGTGTGGGCAAAGTATCGGAGCTCACCCTCTGTTCCTGTCCTCACGTGGCGAGGACTGACATCGTATCAACCGAATGTTTACCATCGGTTCCAGAAATTTACTTCTTAGTGGAATGGATAAAGTCGAAGAGACTAGTGCAGATAACGTTCAACTAGTTGACTGGTACAATTTTCTGGTAGCCAGATACATTCAGCGAGTTTTGGCTGTTTTTGTTCCCGTTTCCTCTCGGAGTATCTTGATCTCTTCATTCCCTTTTCACAGAAGGCTACTGTATTTCAGCTTTCATGTCACCTCGTGGAGTTTATACTCTAAAGTATCTTGCAAGTTCGACGTCAACTTCTTGTAGCTGATTTACTTTATCTTGCCAACCAGTACAACTTTGACGGTAGATATAGAACATGAAGGACTCACAGCAAGCCTGAAGGCAGAATTAAACATTTTTCCCACTATTGAGTGGTATTGAGATATATTTTACACACTCAGCAAGCATCGCCCCAATATTTTCAGATGCTTTTCTACGCTAAAGCTAATTGATGGCCAACTCAGTAGTAGATTTCTTCAGATTCAGTTATTCTCGACTAGATATTGCATCAAGGTATAATTAACAGATGTTATCTGAGTGTTAAAAAGTGTATACTTGCTGGTCTGAAGGCGTAGCTATTATCACTTCTTATGTACTTATTGTGGACATCAAAAGACTGACGAATAGAAAAAAAGAGATCTGTAATATTCAGATTGATTTCAAAGTATAAAAGTAAAGTTTCATACTCAATACTATATGATTCATCAAGAGTGATTACTTCAAGAATTGAAATCTAGATTGATGATTGACTTATACATCAAAGTCAGTTGGAGGATGTTTGGTTTCTTAAAGTCTTAAGTTGATCCATTACATGTTTACATGGAATTATATCATTATGAGCTGGGAGTTCCATCTTGATTAAGTATGAGAATTGAAATGATTAACAGTATACTTTATTGAAATACAATATTACTATATAAAATAAATATAAAAAATCTCTTTAGCTTTAATTATAATTTTCTAACATTATTTAGATAACCTTAGTTTTTTGTTAAATTTGTGTTTTTTGAGATTTATTAATTAAGAATATTCTCACAAAGTTATGAAGTTTAGAATTTGAAATTGTATGTAAGTCTATCCGAGTTCACTAAAATGATCTAGATTTTAAGTAAAAATCACTTAGTGCCAATAAATAATCAGTAAAAAACTAAGTGGCATTTTACTAGAAATGAAAAGACCTATATACATAGAAAAGTTCAATGTTAAATACATTGTCAATGGCCAACATCACTACAAATTCTAACCTGAGAAAAAACTACCAACGATTAATTAACATTAACAATTGCTTTCTTAACACATGTTGGGGTACAATAATCTCCTTAACCTAAATAATTATTACACGGAAAATCCTAAATAGAAGTAAACTTAACAAAAGATACTCTTTAAATTAGAGTTAACTATAATTAAATCATAGCAAAAATGGTATGGAGTAAAAAATATAGAGAGGTAATCATAAATGCTAGTAAACTTTACATATGCTATTCATGCAAAACCTCCATAGTAGCACAATGTCTACCCAAACTTTTCAAAGTAATAACTTGAATGAATGCATTAGTTAAATTTAGCGTCAATCTTGATTAGCTCAATACTTTTATCAAAAATTACATGTTTAATAAAGTGACCATTTGATATTGATATGTTTCACAATGCTTTCCATTAGTTGATTTGCAACAAGATGTAATGACCTATCACATTAAAGATTCACAACCTCATGTTTCAATTCCATCTCAGTGATAAACTTATCCAACCAAATAGTTTTCTTTGTTGTCGTTACATATCCAGCTTCTATTGTAGAGTGAGTTATATGCTTATGCATGGTAGATCTTCAACTAATGCATTCACCATCAAGTGTAAACACATATCCAGTTTTAGATTTTTTTTGGTCTAAATTTTGTCCATGGTCATCATCAATGTAGTCTAACAAGGATTTAGCGTTGTCTAATAACCATCAAACAATGAATCATAATCCTCATTACTATTCAAATATCTGAGAATTTATTTCACTGCTTCTAAGTGCACATTTCCTGGATTTGACATGTACATGTTCATCTTTATCATCTTTAAAACAATATTATGCCTTGTGCACACGATTAAATACATGAGGCTTCTCACAACTTTGTCATATGGATCACAAAACAACTTTATTTTTTCAATAGCATTAATTGTACATTGAAAGTTTAAAATGTGTTGCCAAAGGAGTCTATCCTCCTATAGAGTCGGTTATGTAAAACTTGTCAACTACACATTGAATGTATTTGGCTTAATTCAATCATAGTCTCTTTTTCATCTCATACTATGAATGTTTTATTTCTAATATACTCTTGGACTACCCAAATTCTTCATCTTAAATCTGGACTTCAATTAGTTTATGCTAAACAACCTAAGTCTATCCTCATACAATATTCACAAAATTGTAAGTCAATTTTATTAATGTCATGTGATAATTTTCTTTGGTTTAGAAAAGAAACATGTTTATTACTCATGTGTTCTAAACTAAAATATTATACATGAGACATTTCAATTCAATATCTAGTAAAATTAAACTACCTTTAGATAGTAATGTACTCTAGCAAATATAGAATTTTGTATGTATGAACTCTAAATATAATTTTATCATGTGTTCTAACCTCAAGCATTCTTTTTTTAAAGCTTCGCTCAAGAAACTTTGAGTCTAACATTCCAAGAAAGATCAGGTTTTTTCTCATATAAGATATAAATCTAACTTGAGTCAATGTACGTTGGTCTCCATCAAAATGCAAATTTTAATAAATTCAACACACTCATTTACAACGTTGATCATTTTGCGTAAAAATTGATACATTTGATATTGGAAAAGTAGATAAATTAATTCTCTAACATATCAACAAATATGATAAAAACAAACACTATATTTATATAGTGTTTGTTTCATATTTTCTGATATATAATGTTTGTATTCATACATCATCAAGAATTTTTGATGAATTGAATGGAGTATACCTCTAGCATCATAGTACATATTCTAGCAAATCATACTCTTGAGGATTAAACTCTTGAATCACATATGGCTAATGAAAGATCGACATCTTTGATTCACGTGCAAACATAGAGTTATCCGTTTAACTCATCTACTTGTTTTAAAACCGAATATTAAAAATGAAGTATAATTATATTCATTGCTTGTTTTTTAATATTTTCCATTTTTTGTCGTTGTATGTGGATGATTTTGTCCTTAGCATCTTGTCTAGACCTATGACCTTTAGCTTGTTATTCTCTTGGCTCTTCAAGAGCACATAATCATCACATCCATCATATTGACAATGTTTTATTTTGCTTCTCCAAACTTAATGCTTGGCATCTTGTTACAACAAATACTTGAAGTTGTAGCTGGAAATGTTTGAGTGAAAGATTTTTCTTTTTCACTCATTCCTTAATCTTTTATTTTGCGAATGCGATTGTTGATCTAATACTTCTTGTGAATGTTGATCTTTCAACAATTATGTTGAAAGATCAACATAGTTGTTGTATTGTTGGTCTTCCATTTTTTGCAATATCTTTTCTTTTGCGCCTTCTATATCTTGCAAGTAGCACAAAATTGAACTTATGTTGGTTTTGTTCAAAGATATGTCTATACTCTCCTCCATCCAAGCATGCCAAAAAACAGATTGATGCACGCAGATTTTACTAGCTAGCTCTAGCTTATCAGAGGACACAACAAACCTACATAAGTGGCAACAACTGGCTGATTGTTGTAAAAAACACAAAAAGAAATCAAACGATGCAACCGATGCTTTCATACATTTATTGTACATCCACTCTTTTTCTTCTTTGTTTTCAGGTCTAACTCAAATCAGTGAAAAGATATGTAAGATCTCAATATACTCTTTAAGTACAAAAACATTGCTCACACTTTGAATCTGAAGCTTCCAAACTTCATTTGCATTGCTATGTTAATGCTCCTTCAAAGAACTAGCACCTCGCACTTCAAACTTTCAACATGCAAAAAAAAACACGTCAAACACAAGCGAATAAGATCTTCTTAGTTCCTTTGAGTTAATGAACGTTGTCACTCACACAGATTATATGTTCAAATTCATGATAGCAAATGTCAAGAGCCGAACAAAAAGCATGAGCATCACATTTGAATTTGTCAAATTTCTTACCTCCACCTGTCTGCATCAACACCTCGTTAGCTCAGCGCAGTCTTATCAAGACCTGTTGGTGCTCAAGTTGATGTTCACCATCTCAAACAGGCGAGGGAAACTCTGATATTGATTGTCAAGAAATATCACGTAGTGTCAACAAACAGTCGAGAAAAATTGAGGGTCAATTTTTTAAAAAAGAAAATATCAATACACAAAAAACTCTAATGATAAATGCATTGACATCGGACGACATCCTTGCAAACTCTGAGTCTAAAATACTTGTTGACCGCCTACATCCCTACAAAGCCTAATTTGAGAAAAAAATTGCATACAAAGAATTAACACTAACATATTATATATATATAGATGAATGATGGTATCTATCATGTTTGAAATAGAAATTCAGAAATAAAAAAAAATTGGTACCCAAATTTCAATTATTTTTATTTGATTTTTTGTTCATAACAAAAAAATAATGCAATGAACTTCAAAAAAAATATTGGATACTATTATCAAAAAAAATCCACAAACATAAAAACATTAACATAGATTTAATGATATGCTACTGCAGACTGTGTCCAAGGAAACAAACAAAGTTTATTGATGAAGTACTTAAGTGCTTATCAAAAATTTTGGCTAACTCTATTTTATAATGACATCATAATTTAAATCAAATCAGGATTAAATTACTCAAAATAAAGTACATTTGAATAAACACTTACAATCTTTTTTTTAACTTAATGTTGTAAGAATTGTAAACTTCACTTTCATGGTAATATATAGAAATAGTTTGCAAATTTTTTTAGAGAAAAATCTAACATATCACTCCTTTAATAAGACATAACTAGAACCAAGACGTAGTCAAAACAAGAGAAAGAAAAATAAAATAATATATATATATATAGTTAACAAAATTGCTAGTAGATTTTAGAGATCAATCTAACATATATCATACTTTAGATTAGAAAATACCAGAACCAAGACAAAGCCAAAAAAAAATTAATTAAATATATATATAAGTAACAAAACTAATAAACTTGTAAATTTAACTTGCGCTTTTCATGGATACCTGCAAAATGGCACAATATTTTCTAAAACCCTCCAAACAAAACTTTGATTAATATATCAACTAGATTGAATGTATTGTCAATCTTGACTAGCAAAGTTTTTTTTATCAAGAATTGCATTTGGGATAAAATGATACTTGATGTTAATGTGTTTCACTATGTTGTTTATCACTTGATTAACATCAAAATGTAACACATTTTAACTATCACAATGAAGATTG